CGAAACAAGTGAGCGTTATCAATAAATAGGAATTGGTTTGCTTACTTTTTCAAAAATTTTGCGAGCGCCTGGACATAGCAGTGGCCATCAACGTCTTTGACAGAAAAGTGACCCTAAAAATTGAATACAGGAGGCACGGCACGTACCATCACACAAAACGGCAATTTCGTAAATGTGACCGTGCATGAAAGGGATAATTCAAACAAGCAAGTGCATATACTGGGCACAATGGCACAAAAGATCGTCAGTTAAAGCGCTTGGAAATATTTTCAACCTTTCCTGATTTTTCACGTCTTGTAAAACAAAGCGTAATATAGGAGCTTGCCCTGCAGAAACACCTAGGCGGGCATCTTAAGGTGATAAACATCCGGAGACATTTCGGCAAAACATAGTTTTAGCTCGTTTAGTTTCGTTACGTGACATTGGATATTTGTATAAAGACACCTTAATTTTGTACCAGCCGAATTTTCTGCTGCATTTATCACCGTTGTGGGCATTACTGCGTTATCTTGGACGTTATTTTCTCCTGCTCTTTCGTTACTTGAGCGGTTCACTTAATAGAATAGAATAAAATAGAATAGATTTATTACAGTACCCCTTGGGCACTGTCGGTCTCCTTTGAACTGAGGAAAATGCCTGTTGCTTCGGTCAGAATACTGGAATTTAGTGGCTTGCTTGTGTTTTTGCCTCGATCGGCTGGTTCCATGAAGCTGTATGTGATAGCTGAGTAACTACCGTCGTTCTTATTATTACCGGCTGGCGCCACTGAAACTGCATATTTTCCCGAACGACTTTCCCCTTGAAGAGCGTCAGGTTGTGCTCGCCACCTTTCAGTCTCGACTATAATTTCAAGACAAGTTGCCGGCGTTTCAGCTGCGCCGCTGGAAAGTAATCCAGTTGAAAAAAATCTATTTATGTGTGTTTCTGAGGTTGGTCTTTTTGGAGAGGAACAACTTGATTTGCTCTTTGTTCTCCAACATAATTCTCAAATAAGGCAGTTGTGCTGATGTCCTATATTCACTTCAGGATCTATATTTTCTTGTATGCGTAGAGTAATTGGTTTATAAGACCATGAAAAGAAGTAAGATCCGCCGAGATACGGTCCGCACGTCTGGCTGCATTCTATTCAGACAAGCCCTGAACAACCAGACATTGTTACCGGTCACGGTACTTTTTATTTTGTCGTTCCGGTGAATCCTCTGCACGAGGACAGGGGCGATTTACGGAGTCGTCGCTTGCACGCAAACTGTTGCTGCCGAATGACTGTGCCGAGCGAACCATCAGGCTGGTCGTGACTTCAGACTCCAGTTATGGCGTTTTCCCTTGCCCTACCCACGAGTTCCTGTCTGCGCATTCGCATGTGTGCTCTACATAGCACTTGGAATCGTTGCTGGAATAAGAGGACCACGGTATACTGGGTGATCTAACTATATCGTCCCTTGGCAAAATAAGAAATCCTATCAATTTCAGCAAGAGGAGTAGGCGAGATGGCTCACGCGACAGGCAATGTTTTTATGACATCTCTAATTTTGTCTTGCGCGGGAATAGTCTGTCCTAATCGACGGTTTCGTTTGCATTTGAATAGTCCAAATATGACCTGAAAATAAATGCGTGAGTGTGCAAAGTACTTTTAGAAGTTTGAACTTGGCACGATATTGGATTTATATACTCCCTAAGGTCACCAGGTTATCGTACTGTGCTCAGCCGCCAGCGGATTTTGTAAAGTTCATCTCTGTGAAGTCGGCATTACTGATTTAGGACTTACGTGTTGCTGGGAGACCATATAAACAATCTACTGTCAATTAAAAACCGTACGAATTTTCAATCCTCTCCGCTCAGCGTTACTTTACCTGTTCCTCCAATAAAACTCACAGGCATAGTCTCCGTACCTCATTTATAATGCTAAGGTTTAAAAAAGGGACAAAGGACAGGAAACAAACATTTCTGGCCTACTCCTGCTACTATTACACACAAATTGTTTGGAAGGACTCAGTTTCCCGTCATCGTGCAGAGAATACTACGCTCGGATCTTGCCAAAATCGTGAAATAGTCAATGATGATGACGCTGAAAACACTGGGATATATAGAAACGTGAGACTATCAGGCCTCACAGAATATCTTTGGAGACCAAACATCCTTTTCCAATGCACATCTAATGAAAAAAATTGTGACCAGATTCCGGCAACGAGGCCCTTAAACAGAGCCGACCACGATCTAGCGAAAGCATTAGAACTCTTATATTTCTTCCAGGCGGTTGCTATTCATGGATTTGACTGTCATTCTCTCCCCCAACCAGAAGAACAACAATATTTCGCATCGGTTGTCCTGGCAGATAATTAGTGCTTCTTGCACTCATTGGCAAGGACCGAGTTAATCCGGCCGAAGTCTGTCAAGGTATTTAGCACAGATCGACTTCCTTTAACTTTTCGAGAACTGGCCGACGTGCTCTGCGAACCATTATCGACGATATTCTTACGTCCCATGGAAAAGTGCGAATTTTTAGAGAGCGGAGAACTGCTTTCCTCCCCCCGATATGCAAAAGCTGGAGTCGAAAAATTAAGTCCTAATTGCCTATATCATGCACCGCTCCGTGGCTGCTGGTTGGGCCCGAGAGAGAGTCCATAAAGCACAACGGAACGAGTGAGTTCCGTAAGAACGATCGGTGAGCGCCCGCTACCATCGGTTTAACTTTCATTTTGTGACATAGTACGCAGCACCTACTGGCTGACCAAAAACAGAGAAATTTACTTTACTCTGCCCAGCGTGGCTTTCACGGCGACCGTTCTTGCCTGACGAGTGTTTTTGTTTCAAAAAATAGTCGAGAGAAATACACTAGAGCTTTACAGCTGATGCCTTTACTCTGACTAAAAAAGGCAGTTAATAATGTGCTTCACTGGCGTCTCCTACGGGGGATTTAGAAGCATAGAATATGGGACAGCATACCTAAGTAGATATGCAACTTTCCACCATGCAAACTGCAAGAAGTTATTGTTTATATAGCAGCATTTGAGTAGTACCAGTAAAAATTGGTATCTCATAGGTTTCGACATTAGACCCTGTCCCCTTCATTTTTTATATTAACGACTGCATTAAGGATTTTGACTACTGGGCCGCAATGTTCACTGACGATATAAAAATCTGGAAGAAAACCCTGCTTTATTGACGGTGTGCGGAAAATACAAGAAACTATTGACCAACTGAGTGTCTAGTGCGCTAAGTGGCTTATATTGTAGCGGCTGAGGACGTCAAGGGTGGCACACACCAAAGTACCGAAGCGCAGGGAGAGATTCTGACGAAGATCGATCTTAACAGAGCTGTTAGTATCTCGTGATACTCATTCACAGACAGGAGAAGAAGGTAAGTCAAGCATGGGATAAAGTATAGTGAAACGAGATGGGCACGAGAATTATGTATAATAATGGTTAATGTACACGTAGAATGCGAAACGACAATGAGATAACCTATCTGGATGGAGAGACGACTCTGGCATGCTAGCTAAACGACCGGTTGAGGTGCTGCGCTGTCAGCAAATACAGGTTAGGGCCGAGGGGGAGCCAACGCTGAGCGAGAGACGAGGGCAACGGTACGATGTGGGGGAGAGCGTGTAGGCGGTAGCGAAGGGGAGGGACG